ATATTTATAAAGGGGTTTTGAGTAATAAGTATTAATAATCCTAGTAAGTGTCTTAGTGGAAATGATTAAAAGATGAAGGGATGAGATCATAAATAAGTGCTATAAGTTACGCAATCTGAGGAGCACGAGGTAACCCTAGATAACAAAAAATAAAATGTGGATTTTGATTCCCTCTTTGGTCGACGTAATCTGATTTTGGAATTTTCGATTTCTATGTGTTTAGGTTCATCGATTAGTCATAAATAGAGATCCTAAATTCATTAACTTTGTAGAGGTATTGATCTTTCTATCATCTTTATTTTCGATTTAGGAAAGAAATAGGGAGAGTTACACAATAAATTAGGGTTTCAACTTGTTACTTTTCAATTTTAGAGTTGATACTATATGTGGCCATTAGACTTTTAAATCATATTTCCATAAAATCATCTTCTACCAAGATATACAAATGGTCTTCAACATAATGTGGAGCTTAAATCTTTTGTTTACATGATGTTTCATTTGCGGGGTGCCTTTATGAAAAGCTTGGACTCTGGTCCTTATGTTAAACTTGAAAATGGATCTGCCATTGGAGCAAATTGGTTAACTTTATGATTACATGAAAGGTAAAAATGGGTGTCTTACATTTCCCTTTAGGTGCTTTAAAGGTTCTACAGGCGTATTTCCCATCACTTCAGCTGGAGTTACATGTATTTACCCTATTTTATGGAGTTACATGTATATACCCTGTTTTATACATGGAAGTGTATTTTGATGCTTATAAAATATACTCTTGTGACAACTGACAATTAATTAGTATGATACATTGATATCTATTCATGATGGGGGCTTCATGGTGAGATCAGAGAGGATGGAAAGTAAAAGGGTGCAATTGTATGACTACAAGTACTACTACCTGTATTGTTTTTTGTTAAATAAATAATAAACAAAAAGATATTAATATTTGGCTATTTTGTAGATGAATTGTAGAGGGTATTATGTATGAGTTTCAAAAGGGGGTTAGAACTTTCAAAACTGATGATGACCAAAATACTGGTTATGAAGGAGAAAAGAATTCACTAGAAAAGACTGCATAACCAGAAGATGTAATGGCTAAAAATACTTTAGAACAACTCACTTTATTTGCATCTTATCAAGAAAAAATTGAGGTAACACCCAATCTCACCCTTTCATGTTAAAAACATAATAATGGCCTTGTCATTAAACTAACAATCCTAAATGATGTCATTGTTCTGTAGGCACATAGGTAGTTAGAGATGTAAAAGTTAGTTAAAAGGGCTTAGAGGAAGCTAGTCAGAGTTGTTGGTTTAACTAGTAAAATAGCTCACAAGGCCTCCCTGCAACAAGGCTTGATAAAAATCTATATCACATTCTTTTTTAATGACTATTATTTGTGTACAGATTGTAAAATGAGTAAGCCAGTTAGAATTGGAGTACTTACTGTTTTCGGAAATCTGTTTTGGTGTTGCTAAGTTGGTTCAAAGGTGAATATATTATGTTTTTAGCCCATTCAATATTTGTAGATTCTAGGTTCGTTTAAGGTTGCTTAAATGGGTTAAATATTAGAACTAGCAACAAAAATCGGTGACGAGTTTTCTTGGTAACTAATTGGATAAATCAGTGACGACTTTTTATGGTTATTAATTGGATAAAGCAGTGACGACTTTCAATGGTCACTAATTGGATAAACTAGTGGTGACTTTCTATGGTCACTAATTGGATAAGACAGAAACTACTTTTTATGGTCACTAATTAGCTAAATCAGTGATAACTTTCTTTGATTAGTGACGAAACTGATTGTCACATATTTAGTGACCATTATATTTTAGTCATTTTTTAGTGACCACTTTTATATTCCTATCACTAATCAGTTTTGCGACGGACCTATAGTGGCGACAAGTGATGACTAAAAATTTGGTCCATAAAACATTTAGTGACAACTCCTTCTATTGATAGTGACCATTTTGTTTTCGTCAATAATCAACATTTTTTTTAGTGATATGCCAACCCCATGGGTTCGATGACAGTCCTCAAGTTTCACTTGAGAGAGAGAACTGGACTTTTTCTCTTCTCCGATGAAGAATTTAGAAACAAAAATCAAAAGCACAATGCAGAATCAAAATATGGGAAGAGAGGACGAAAGGGAGAAACCATTTACAACAACACAGTGATGATTTTGTTTGGATTCTTCACAATGTTTTGGTATTACCTCTCTTCTGTGTGCCTCCATTCCTTTTTTTTTTTTTTTTTTTTTTTTTTTTTTTTTTTTTTTACGATTTTTGACATCTCACTTTGTGATGGAAACACAAGTTCAGATGTTTGTGCTTGTGGGTATTCTAAATTTTTTTTAAACCTGAACAACTGTTAATCTAATTGCTACTCTTCTCGACATATTTAGCTTAGTTGTCTAATACACTTCATCATCAAATGCTCGTTTCTACCCTTCTAAATCCACCACATAACTGATTTCAATAAACGCCACAAAAAGTTACTCCCTCCTTTCCAAAATTATTGTCCATAGACAAAAAAACACACAAATTAAATAAATATTAATTACCACTAACTTTATACAATAAAATGACAGTTTTGTCCTTACTTTGCATTTAATGTTCCATTAAATCCTTAGTTAGTTAAGTAATAATGAGGGGTATATTGGTAAAAGCGTTATTTATGTTTATAAGTAGACTATTATTTTGGGACAAACAAAAAAGAAAGATGAACTATAATTTTGAGACGGAAGGAATATTTATTTGATTATAATTCTTATAACTCCATGGGAAAGGAAAGTTCTAGTTAGGTGTGAGCAAAAACCGCAATGCAACTAAAATTAACTGCAAAAACTGCATAAACTGCAACCGATTAGCCGCAACCGCAATAAAAACCGATGGTGAGGTTCTCTGTTTTTCCAAAACCGCAAATTTACGGTGCCTTGTAGTTATTAGTTTTCAAAAACCGCAAACCGCATCGCACTGCATATATTATATATAATTTTTTTTGATTAATTATTAATATATTAAATATTAAAAATAAGAGAAGTTTAATGAATGAAAGAATGATAAAATTATAGAAGACAAAAGTGTTGGTTTTTTCGTATGTATAACTTTGAAAATTTGTGAAATTTGACAATTTAAAGATATTTATTATTAATTACTAGTGATTTAAAGTTTTTAAAATATTAGTTGTTTGTAATTTAAGTTAATGTTTTATACCTTATTGTTTTTTATTATTACAAGTAATATGTTTAAATTCTTTCAAGTGTTTGAACTCTAAAATGTGGTTAAAAACCACACAAAATAACTAGGCCAAATCTATGCAGTTAATAACCAAAACACAGAAAAACAAAACCGCACCGTAAAAATAACCGTCTAACCGCACCGTATAAATAACCGCACCAAACTCTTTTGAAAATGGATTAACCGCATTTGCGGATATTGGTGATGTTTTAGCCAATAACCGCACCCAAACGCGCCGCGCTCACCCCTAGTTCTAGTCGCCTTTTACGTTTATATATCGATTTCGGCAACACTTTTATAAAATAAATATGATTGGTGGAAGGATGCAAGACAACAATTCAGAGGAAAGATCCTATTTTGATAGGTGCATCCATAGTTGCGAGGGAAAGGTGGAAAAAACAAAATGTATTGGAATTTATAATACATATATGTTTTTTTTTAAATGACAAATCTATTCTATTTCTACACCACTCCTAAATCTCCACCTATGTCCTGGGACTTGTACCCTCAGTCAATGTTGTAAAACTCGCCGAGTTGGTCGATTACTCATTCGAGTACTCACTACTCGATCTCTTACCGAGGCGAGTTACAGAATCCCGAGTACTCTCCGATCCACCCCTTACTGAACTGAGCAGGGTTGTCAAACACAGTCAACTCATTGATTTATATGTATAATATACTTAACGGTTTATTATTTAACGCACACACGTGTGATTATTACTATATATTTTAAATTTTGAGTAATTATTCACGAAGTGAAACCATTATGTGTTTTTCAGTTGTTGTGTATTCACATGTATCTAATTTTATTCTATATTTCAATCAACTTAAGATTTTAACTTATTATTTTGACTTGGTAAGGCATGTGGAAGATATGGTGGATAACCTATTGATCCATGTTCAAATCCTGGCACCACTCAGCCCTTGTGGTCATGGAGGTTCGCCTGCAGTGACTCCAGGGCATGAGGCAAAGCTTTATGTTTGCAACGGGGATTAGTCGGTGCACGAAAGCTGGCCCGGAAACCCTCGTTAGGGAAGTTCCCTTTCCAAAAAAAAAAAAAAAAAAAAAAACTTATGATTTTGACATATATAAGTTCCTAAATATATATTTCTACATGAATTATTGAATCCGAGTAATTCCCAAGTACTCTTGAGTACTCGCTACTCAGTAGTCGGCCGAGCAGGTACCGAGTAACGAGTTCTACAACCATGCCTCAACCTCAATGAAGAGGGCAACACCGGATAGAAACCCTTTGGTATTTATAATACATATGATGGATAAAACTTAACATGATATTTAATTTCTCTATTAAGTTATGTATGGTTATTAGGAGCCACATTCCAATGCAATGCAAATACAAATCGCTAGCTTACGGTTTTTTAGGTCCCTAATATGTATCATATTTACCATTTGCTAAGATAAAACAAACATTTTACTCTTTGACGCTTTATAATGTAGAAGATTCTTTGTTGATTATTTTGGTTATGAAAGTTTCAAGTGTGTTGAAGTTGGTTATCTTGCATGATGTTTTTACTCGGTTTAGTTGAAACAATCCCAAAAAAACTTGAACCATAATATTATAATACAAACACGTCCAAGAAACTTTCTTTAAAAGTCAAAACAATCCATCACAAATGTACACCCTTGGGTCCATCTCTCTTTCCTGGAAAAAAGATTATCATTTTCTCAGTTGACAAATTGACTATGAAGTATGAACCATTGCAAATTCTTATTCAATTTCTACTTTCTTCTCTTCTTCATCAATAATTATGCTGTCTGCTAATGGCAATGGAAAGGAATCACAACCCTCTACAGAGAGCTCACAAGCGTGCCGCAAGTTCGAATTTCATAATATTCTCTTAGCAACCGCCAACTTTGACGAATCATTAGTAATTGGGAAGGGGGGTTTTGGAAAAGTTTACAAAGGTAACATTATCAATGGATCAAGTCTTGTGGTTGCTGCCATTAAACGGCTGGATTCCACATCAACTCAAGGGGCAACCGAGTTCTGGGCAGAAGTTGAGATGCTTTCAAAGTTGCGTCATTGCCATCTAGTGTCTTTGTTTGGTTATTGCAATCACGAAAAAGAAAAGATCCTCATCTATGAGTATATGCCCAATGGAACACTCGAAGACCACCTCCATAAATTTGGTACCCCTCTTTCTTGGCTTCAACGACTCAAGATCTGCATAAGTGCAGCTCGTGGGTTAGATTATCTCCACACTGGCACAGGGATTGATGTTGGGGTTATACATCGTGATATCAAAAGCTCAAATATATTGTTACATGAAAGTTGGGCAGCTAAAATTTCGGACTTCGGGTTGTCAAGAATAGGCCCAACTAATCAGCCATCTACTTATGTCAATACACTTGTGAAAGGTACTTTTGGATATTTGGATCCAAATTATTTCACAACTGGAAGGCTGACCAGGAAGTCTGATGTGTATGCTTTTGGGGTGGTTTTGTTGGAAGTGTTATGTCGAAAACGTGCAGTTGATAGAAGTCTTGATGAGGAGCAATGGGGGTTAGTGACATGGGCTCAAGGTTCTATCAAAGAAGGCAGTTTAAAGCTCATAGTTGATCCTGAAATAAGGGGACAAATATCAACAAAATGTTTGAAGGAGTTTGTTCGAATAGTAGAGAGATGTTTGCTCAGCAATCCAAAGCAGCGCCCTACAATGGCTGAGGTTGTGGTCAATCTCGATTCTCTAATGACGTTACAAGAGAAAACCAATACATGTTCACGGGGTGTGGCCAAAACAATATGTGGAAAAATGTTTGAAATGTTTCCCTCCACCTTGGATGGAGAGAACTCTGGTACTTAATTCGACCTTCCAATATTTAATTGTGTATATAGATTCTTTAAATATGTCTAGGTTCATCTTTGCATATATTAGCAGAACATTAATGAAAATATAAGAATGTCATCTTCCAACCTCAAAAGTCGAAACATTACTTACGCGTTAAAGTGTACTGATGTTGATTTGTGTACAAATGTGATAAAATTTGTAGTTGAAGTACTATGCTGAATAATTTATAAACGCACTTTTTGTCTCCTCTCTTCACCCAACTGTTTTCATATTCCATCCATGATGTACACCAATGCGTTTCTTGTCGTTTCATATGACACTGTTTGACCTCTTTATATGTTCACCTAACTCATTCAAAGTCCTTTGAAGTACATGTATACTGCCTTTGATTTCAGTGAAATGAGTATGAACAAAATCGCTCCTATAACAGTTAATATAGTGATTATATAATCTATTTCTATTAATCTATTTCAGCCCCTGGTGATTCAAAGCTATCAGATAATTGCAAGGCCAACAATAGACTTGAAGGTGATACTTTAGGGGCTGACAACATTGATTGCACCAGTGCTATTCCAAGTCTGAAAGTATTTAAATTTTCTGATTTGAAAAAGGCTACAAGAAACTTTAGTCAAGATTTGGGTATGGATGATTTTGGAGAGGTGTTCTTAGGTTGGATTGACAAGAAAACATTCGCACCTTCAACACAAAGTACAGGCTTTGCTGTTGCTGTTAAAAGGTCAAAGGATCTTCAACAATGGAAGGTAAGTATCAATAAATATAACTAAACTTACATCTATAATCAAGACAAGAACTTTACATTTCCATTGGATTCTTAAGTCCTTGAACTCCTTAATTTAACATAAAATTAATATTCATTTTGTTTGAGGTTTCTGCTGAACAGTTTCTCATAGAAAAAGTTAGATTCCAAACTACAGATCTGGTATTGTTCTTCTATTCTTAACCTTTTTTTGGGGGTGATGTAAGTCAGTTTACTTTATGAAATAAAAGTTAATAAAGTACTTGTGTAGAACAAGCCATGATGAAGTTTCATGGAAAGTTACCTCAAAGTCTATATGTTATGACAAGGGCATGGTAAGACTTGACAAAAAAAAAAAGGTCATATCATTCTAACCTGGTGAAGCAACTCTCTTATTGAAAATATGTGATGATATATATGCAAAAGAAAGAAGAGAAAAAAAGGGTAACAATTTTTTGCATGGTCTAGGAAGCCCCTATTACTTTTTATCATTTTCTTTTGTTGGAGAGAAAGCAAAAGATAGCTGAAAATTTTCATCATGTGTACAATGCTACAATTTTCTTTAATCATTTTTGCTGAATGTAACTAAAAATTTTGTGTGATCAGACAGTGGTGACAGTTTTAGGATCGTTGGCTCATTCAAATATTATTAGTCTCTTGGGATACTGCAATGATAAAGAACACAGATACTTGCTTGTTTACGAGTACATGCATAACCGAAAATTGGATAACTTCTTATTCCGAGGTAAGATACTTGAATCTCTCTTAAAAACTCTTCTTGGGTTTTTTTTACTCAAAATTTGGATTGTTGTAACTATTTTTCAATGCACCAGATGTTGTGCAACATCTTTCGTGGGGAACACGACTTATGATAATGATAGGAGTAGCAAATGGACTCGCTTATATCCATATGTCAAAACATCAAGTCCTACATGGTTTTCTTAAAAGTTGTAGTATATTTATCGATCAGGTAGTCCTAAGCTACTTGGATGCTTTTAGTTTTATAACATTAAAGTTAACCAATTGTTTTTACTCGTTCTTATTACAGGATTTTAATGCAAAACTGGGGAGTTTTGAGATGGCAAGATTTTGCAATGATATTGGGAATATTGATGGTAGGTTACCTTGTAACAAAGTGATATAATTTACAAAACAAATCATTCTTACAAAAGCATACAAACGAGCCCTCTCAGCTAAATTCCGAAACTTAAATATGAAGAAAAAACATTATACTTCTAAATTTTCTCTAAACTCCTATTTTTAGGATTATGATGATTTGTTTTCAATAAATATGCCCAGGTATGGTGGTTCCAAAAGTCTAACCATCTGTTCTGTGATTATAAAGTATACACTTTAATATTGCAGGTGAATTGAGCATGAAGACTGACATTTATAGTTTTGGAGTGATTTTGTTGGAAATCTTAACAGGCCAACGAGCACTGGATTCGAAACGTCCGCCTTATCAGTTTGATTTGGTAAAATGGACAACTCCATTCTTAGCAGACAGAAGAGAGCTAAAGAAAATAATAGATCCACGTCTTGAACATAACTACCCCCTGGAACGTGCTTTTGAATGTGCTGCAATGGCTTTAAGATGTTTAGCTAAGGATCCTAAGGATAGACCTACAAGTGAAGAAGTTTTGTGGGGCTTGGAACAAATATACGTTGTAAACAAATAATGGATAAATTAAAGGTATGATTTTATACGTAGATTCGTTTGGCTGGGGTATGGAGAAGGAATTATGCTATTTGTAAGACTTGCATTATTTTTTCTAAATTGGGTTATTGTGTTTTGGATGCATGTTAAAAATTTTACATCAGAGGTTTAATTTGAAGTTTTGAACCATACTTTCCGCTGAAAAATCTCTATTTTTATTCTTTTTTATTTTTATATTTTTTGATAAGAGACCAAAACTAATTAGTTTTTCATCTATTTTTCCTCTCAAAAAGAGGTGCCAATTTTGTGGTTTTGAAGCCCTCATTCTCTCTCCTCTTTCTTGTACTTTGGTGCATGAAGTGAGTGTAAATTCTTTAGAAAAGGTCAAAGACTTTTATTGATAGGAATACGGTTTATATACAAAGGAAATCTATAAATAAGGAAACAAACTATTCTTGTGTAAGATACAATAGAATATCATTATTCAAAGAATATGTACGACTAATACACCCCCTTTGTATGGTCCGGAGAAGGACACAAGCATAGACTGGATCGATAATGGGTGAAAAGTTGTCATGGCAGGCCTTTGGTAAAGTTGTCAGCGTATTGGTAGTCCGCGTATTGGTAGTCCCTCGGTATGTGGACAATATGAACAACACCAATGTGAACCTTTTCGCGTACAAAATGAATGTCAAGCTCCACATGTTTGGTCCGTTGATGTTGAAATAGATTTTTTCATAAGTATACTGGAAAAATATTATTATAATAGATTATATATTAATGTGGTCCTACGAGTTAGCACTAATAATTCCAACAGTAGGTTGCATAGCCAACTGGTGCCTGCAACTGCGTTAGCAATGTCTCGGTACTCAGCCTTGATGCTCGAACGGGAAATTATGGGTTGTCACTTTGATGACCATGAAACAAGGTTGTCTCCCCAAAAAACACCATACCTAGATGTTAAACGAGTCTCGACAACTGAGTCGGAAAAATATGCAACAAGGTTGTTCGACTTGAATGGAGAGATTGTGAGGCTGTAATGAAGAGTTCCCTTAAGATCAATGACTTGAGGTGGGAGGTGGGGAAGGGGACATGGGTGTGGATGAGGTGACATAGAGGTTAAAAGGAAGATTAGGTTTAGATGTACCCACTTTGGAGTAAGTGCTCATAGAGTGGGATGATGCGGGGGCGGAAGGGGTTGGTGGGTTTATGTCACGATCAGTGGAATTTAACGGTGGAGAGGTTGGTGTGGTGGCTAGCAAAGGATGAGTAGAAGTTTGGCATTAGCACTGCTGGTAGGTAATGAGAGTCTGAAGAGGGGCAGTAGGAGATGGAGGAGAAGAGGGTGGGGAGATGTTTAAAGGGGCAGAAGGGGATGGGGCGATGTGGGGTTGAAATTGCAGAGGGGACTTATCTGAGTCTAGAAAAGAGTACTTGTGGCTATTCGTGGGAGAGGAAAATGTAAAAATATTCTTGTCAAACGTGATGTGGTGCGATAAAATGATGCGTTTGGAGGAGATGTCAAGGCAACGGTACCCATAACAATTAGTGGGGTAGCTGAGGAAATCACAATGAATGTAGTGACTGGTGAGCTTATAAGGTCGAGTAGAAGAAGTTTTGGGATAACAAGTGCAACCAAAGACATGAAGGAGGTCATAAGTGGGGTGTCGACAACATAGGACAAAAGTAGTGGTGTGAAAATAGAGTAATTTATTAGGTATAATGTTGTGCAAGTAACTGGTAGTGTGAAGTGCCTTAGCCCAAAAATTAGGGGGCAAAGATTCATTAGTAAGGTGAGCATGACTTCAGTTAGGCGACAAATAATGCACTCCGATTTACCCTTTTGTTGCGAAGTGTGTGGGTATGAAACACAAAATTGAAGGCCGTTTGTTGAAGCGGAGCATTTAAAGGTGTTATTTTCAATTCACCCCTAAGTCACATTGAAAGGATTTAATAAATGTGTGGAATTGTGTTTAAGATATAACCATGAAAATTTGAGAATATAGTAAAAGTTTTAGATTTGAATTTTATACGAAACACCCTAGTATATTATGAAAAATCATCATCAAGAACAATCTAATAATTGTACCCATTTTTTATTGTAACCGGTGAAGTCCAAATATTACAAAACAAAATATCAAATGGTAATAAAGAATTAGAGTGAGAAATAGAAAACGACCATCATTTATTCATAGAAAAATGAATAGAATAGCAAACTAAGGTTCCAACACGTTTATTACAAGGAATAATTTTATTGGAAACTAGAAAATCAAAAAACGGTAAAACAGGATGTCCCAAATGATCATGCCAAAATATTGAAAACTAGAAGTAAAAAAAAGTGGATTCTAAAACTAGATAGGTGAGGGGATAGAGTTGGATTGAGCTATTGTGGCGGGAGAGGATTGTCCTACTCTTCTACTCCTTCATAGAAAAACCATGGGGATAAATTTTGATGGACACATCATTATCAACAGTAAATTTTCGAACAAAAGTATTATTCTTAATAATGTTGGGAATATAAAGGATCTTTTATGTTGTAGGCCACGAGTGGGGGTTGGAAGGGTTGAGTTGCCCGATCCAAGAATGTTCACGTGAGCTTTATTACCTACAAAAATAGAACTATGGATAGACAAAGATGAGTAATAAATATTACCTTTGTCTCCAGTGATCTAGTGATGTGGTTGGTAGCACCCTAGTCCATATACCATTGCTTATCACTTTCCAGATTCATAGCATGAAGAGCTTCCCCGAGTTGTGTGGGTGCTAGAGGGTCACACAACAAGAAATTGGTTGAGTTGTGATTTGAAGAGGGATGACCAGGGCCTGCTATTTGGTTCCACTATGATGTTATTCAAGACCAATAAGAAGACCAATCTAGTTGTGTTGGGTATGGGCACGATAGGGGCACCCATCAAGGTGGCCAAAAGCTCTGTGTTCCATGCAAAACAAGCCATTAAGCATGTGAATGAGAGGTTCCATGAGAAGAACCAAAAGAAGGTCGATTGAAAGAGTTGCATGGAGGATATGTAGTGGGATGCAAGCTTAATGATGGACCAAAAGAGTTTGGTTTGTGGTTTGATTTTCGAGTCAAGCCTTGCCCATTCCAAAATCCAAAATCCAAAATCTCCAATTCTGCTTCCTTTTCCTTCCGATCATGTCTTTGTTGCTGAAAAAGAAATTTTAAACTAATTAAGTATATATTGTTCAATATTTGAGATAAAAACAACATAAATTATTAAGATAATGCATGAATTATATGATTAAATATGCCCATATCAAAATACCCCACACTTGACTTTTGCTTTCCCCCAAGCAAAACTCAATTTTAGTACACTAATACCACATAAGACAATCTAAATTGAACCCAACCATTATTCCAATACCACCACGCATGCATTTTTGTCTAATTTTTCCTAAGGACCCCCCTAATCCTAAATACTTACGATCTTCATAAACACTCTCCTACTTCTTTTGAACAAAACTTATTTTATGCATCCCTCTGAATCGATTTGCATAAAAATTTCTTAACCTCAAGGTATTTTTGGTTAAACCCCCAAACATACATATAGAAAAATAACCTAAAAAAGAAAAATACAATAACAATAAAGGATCTGATAACTTTTTATACCTTGAATCTTTGATAATTTGTAGCTCTTATTTGTAATATTTCTTTGTCTTCACAGCTTGTAGATTCTTACAAGCATTTCAGAACTCTTTCTTTTCAAACGTGCTTTTTTCTCTCAAACTAAAAATCCTAGAAATACATAGGCTTACGCAAGGGGATTTAAGTCAACCTTTATTGATTAAAGGCATTAGTCTTATGTGTAATGACTACTTAAGCTTTCTTGGACACATTTCAAGTACACGATGTTAAACATGTTGCGACCCTCAAACTAAGCAAGATTGTGTTTTTGTTCCATGATTTCACAAGAATAAAGGAGGTCACAAATGCACTATAACATATATTGTCTCAACTAAACATTTAATTCTACATTGCATCATCAAACATAATACTAGCATGGAATCCTAATTGCTTTACCATAATTTTCTGAATTAACCTAGTAGATTTGAATGCAACTTTTTTTAAAGTTATCCCTGGATTCTAATGTAATCAGCCCCTACCCCACAATTAATTCATGTAATGTCCCTATTGCATGTTATTCATAATAAAGAACATAAAACAAGAGAGAGAGAGAGAGAGAGAGAGAGAGAAAATCAAAACAGACTCCCATGGGATAGAAGTGGCGAGATTGATTCTCTTAAGCTCCTACTTCAACTGACTTTGGCATGGGAACAACTCATCCATGCCTTGGGCATCAAACGTCTTGTCTGGTTAACAACTTCTATTATAACTGGAACAAGCTTCTTGGAAAGACTCGGAAAGGACTTCAGAAATGTGGATAATGCCTGCCATGAATAGGATCAAACCGATGACTTGAAAAAGTTGAATGAGATCGGAACACACCAAGTTGGTAAGGGAAAACAAATCGTGTTGAAGTTATGCACAAATAGAAATCGCGGTTTTTTCACTGGAACACATCGTGTTGGTTTATGACAACGACGTGTTTATAGGTATTTTCGTGAAATTTTCTCCAGTTTGCATCAACGCTAATTCCTTGGGTAAAAAGGGTATTACTTCAATATACCTATTTATATCTTCTATAATATGATCCCATTTAGCAATTATAGTCATCAGACTCAAAAATTTCGCTCAAAATCTTCTATTTTATCATCAATGACTCAACCTCTCACTTGTTTCCTCTCATGCTTTAACTAGTCATTCTATCCCTAACCTAACTTCTCCAAAGATCTAAAACAACAACCACATAATAAAAAGGAAAACAAACATTAAATTAAAATCGTACATTACCCCTAATTACAAGAACTTTTTAAAACAAACCAAACAAACACACAAAATAAAACAAACAAATAAAATTGTCTCTAAATACTTAAAATACAAATTAATAAAAAGGATAAGTAATCTTCATCTTCTCTCCCGGCTCCACTCCCGCCGGCTCTTCCTTACCGCTCCTTCCACAACTCTTCCCAACTCAAGACATATAGATATGTAGTCGGATGAGCATCAGGTCGATGTATGTTCATTTGTTGCATCATAAAGTCCAA